GCTGCTTTTCAAACCAACAGGGAAGTGTGGAAAGCATCGGAGTTTAGTTTTAACCCCTTTAGATCGATCCTGCTCCTACCAGTGATAAAATTGTTCGATATTCTTGTCGGCCCCTAGTAGAGCTCCAAAAAAGACGTCATACTAGACCGAAGTGGTGGCTCCAGCACAATGGAGACGAACATGAGATGCTTTGGAACGAAACTGTACGGTTTTTTTGATAATCACCCTACCCTATCCATGGTTGCCACAAAATTTTCATTTCCATTTTCCCTGAGTTTTCCCTGATTTCCAGACCACTTCTCCCCACATTTCCCTGAGTTTTAAGCACCGTTCCAGAGGTAAAGAAATAACTCCCGAATTGCCGAGGACCATGGCCCTATGGTAGAAGGAGACCGCGAGCGAAGCGAGCGCAAAAAATTTTGGGTCAAAACAACCAACTTGGACGTCAAAATGTGTGTTTGACCTACACAGAAAATAGACAGCAGTTTGAGGACTGATTAGAACAAATTTCCCTGACTTTTTTTCATTTTCCCTGAGTTTTCCCTGATTTCCCTGACAGTTTTTTATTTCCCTGAGTTTTCCAGGTTTTCAAGGTTTTCCAGAGTTGTGGCAACCATGCTATCACCGGAAGTGACCAGACTACTCCTTGTGCCTATGCCCTAAGATAATTTTCGTTACAAAATGATTTCCGTTAAAGTTATTTTGTAACGAAAATTATTTTGGGGCACAAGTATAGTTGTTTGAAATAACTGGTACTTTGTCAACAGATAAACTACAGTTTTCATCACACCCTGCAGACAATTTGATCAGTTCGTGACGACTATTTTGGGGCTTAAATGCGTCACCATCTCAAAAGATACAAGTGCTAAGGGCATGTCTTCAGAAAGCCCCTTTAACTGGCTACTAACTGCCAAAACAACGCGAACCGCAAGGGTTCTCGCGATTTCGGTACCGACGCGAATTAGGTCCAAAAACCACAGTCCGTGTGGCGTGGACACGCCCAGTATTGTCACTACGCAGTCTTCAAATTTGCATCTGCAAGGTGGTCTCACATAAGATGCAGCCGATGGATACTGCAATGGACAACAATTGCCCCCAGACATTGAGAGTGTGCTGCATTGAGTCCCGGGGAGGGGGGGGGGGGGGGGGGGGGGTACCAATCACGGTTTATTGTGCCCATACATGTGGTCACGAGGGACTCAACGTGTTTTCTGAGGGAGTTTTTTTACCCTAGAAAATCAAATTTTATCCTCGCATCCTGGCAATGGCCAAATTTTCGTGTTGCCCTATGTATTACTACTGGGTACATTGGCACTTAAAAACCACTTTTCAGAATTTTAAAGGTCTGGTATTGGAAACTTCATTTTATTAGGTACAATTTGGGGACTGGGACTGTTTGGCGATAATGGCCAGTAAGACGATATAATCCGTTAAATCTCTCGGATTCGGATTCATGACATAATTTTACTCCTAACAAACCAGATTCTGATTTTTAAGAGAAAAGGACGAAGGTCAGAGACCGTTTTAGTGAAATTTGGTGATTTTACCCGAAGTAACAAATATGACCAAAATCTTTCAACGGCCATAACCCCCAAGTATTTAGGCTACAGCGAGGTGCAATGTAGGGTGCTGATCAACTAATCAGATCGGCAATTGTTACTGGGATTGTATTTACGTCTTAACTTCAGTACATTTGTTGAGTGTTTATAAATATTTAGTTTAATTAGTCCTTCAAAGATGGGACACGAAAAAATGGGAAACGTCC